GTAATGTTTGGCTTTATCTTCTTGAGCTGATCTTTGAATTTTTCTGTTCAGCTCTTGGACCTCCTCATTTCTTCCATTTGCTTTAGCATCTCTATACTGAAGAGAAAGTTTCAGTGCCTCTTCTGACATCCATTTTGACCTTTTCCTTCTTTGTCATCTTCTCAATGACTTTTTGCTTTCTTTATGTATGATGTTGTTGTTGTCATCCCACAACTCTCTGGTCTTTGGTCTTTAGTGTTTAATGTATCAAATCTGTTCTTCAGATGGTCTCTAAATTCAGGTGGTATATATTTATTCAAGGTCATATTTTGGATCTCGTGGACTTGTTTTCATGTTCTTCAGCTTCAGTTTGAATTTGTATATGAGTAATTGATGGTCTTTTCCACTGTCTGCCCCGGCCCTGTTTTTACTGATAATATGTAGCTTTTCCATCATCTCTTTCCACAGATGTAATCAATTTGATTTTTTTGTATTCCTTCGGTATAGTTGTCCATGTGTATAGCCGTCTCTTATGCCGTCTAAAGAAGGCATTTGAAATGAACAAATCATTAGTTTTGCAGAATTCTGTCATGCGTTCTCCAGCATCATTTCTATCACCAAGGCCATATTTTCCAACCACTGATCCTTCCTCTTTGTTCCCAACCTTTGCATTCCAATCACCAGTAATGATTAATACATCTTGATTGCATGTTTGATCAATTTCAGATTGAAGAAGTTGGTAGAATTCTTCTGTTTCATCCTCACTGGCATTAGTGGTTGGTGCATAAATTTGAATAATAGTGGTATTGACTGGGCTTCCCTATAGGTTCATGGATATTATCCTATCACAGACAGCATTGTACCTCATGACAGATCTAGATATGTTCTTTTTGAAGATGAATGCAACACCATTCCTCTTCAAGTTGTCATTCCTGGCATAGTAAACCATGTGGTTGTCACTAGGAGAGGATCCTTAGTGACATTGGTGCTGTAATAGTAAATTTTTTGCCTTCTTTAACTCCCTGCCAGTGTTGCTGTGATGTTACACAGGTGTCAGCAGAACTTCCAAGTTAAGATGGGCTAGGGAAAAAGGCCTGGAGATCTACTTCCAAAAAAATTAGCCAATAAAAACTGTGTGGATCAAAACAGCCCAATCTACAACCGATCATGGAGATGGCACAGGACCATGCAGCATTGTGTTCCATTGTGCATGGAATTGCTGCAAGTCAAGGACCAACTTGACAGCAGCTGACATTAGTGGCACTGTAGGATAAGCTCTGGACCAGTAGGTCAGTTTAAACTGCAAGGTTAGCAGTTCAAACTCACCACAGCCACTTCTCTGAAACCCTATACAGACAAGGTTGCTATGAGTCAAATCAACTCAACATCACTTAACAGTAGCAACAATAGCATTAAGGCTTTTATGGAACCTAGAGTGATTGTGTGTGCAGCTATTTTATTAAAGTGGTGTTTGCAGTGAGAACAAAGAAAGAAAGGAGATACCTCTGCATGCCCATGAGAGGGAGATGAAGAACTATGACCAGCTCTTTTCCCCTGCCTCACTAGGGATGGTGAGTGAATTCTAGACCAGTTGACCTGGATTGTTGTTGTTGTTGTTTTTGTTAAGTGCCATCGAGTCTGTCCTGGCTCATGGTGACCCTGGATAGGTTTCCAAGGAGTGAGTGGCTGGTGAGTTTGAACCAGGCCAGCGTCCTGCTATTCAATATTCAGTCCAGCCTATTATCCACACACTGGATAGGAAAGCACAAAACCAAACCAAACCAACAACAAATAAACCAGTGTCCATCTAGTCATTTCAAATAGGGTTTTCTTGGCTGTGACCTTGTAGAAGGTCTTTCTTATGAAGTGCTTCTAGGTGGGTTCAAACCTCCAACTTTTCAGTTAGTAGCTGTGTGCTTAACAGTTTGTGCCACCTAGGGTCTCCCAAGAAACCACAGTGTTCTGCTAAAGAAGAAATGGAAGATTCAGAGATGTTTTTAAAGTGGGTTGGCGGGGAATGATGGGGGTTGGTTTTTGGGCAGCCCACGAGCTAAGAATGACTTTTATATTTTTAAGTGGTGGGGAAAAAATCAACCTCAACCAAAGGATAACATTTTGTGACTCATGAAAATGCTATGAAATGCGCATTTCATCCTCCATAAATAAAGTTTCATTGGCACACTGCCATGCCTACCCATTTACAAGCCATCATGTCTGCTTTCGTTCTACTATGGCAGAGTTAAGTAAATGCAGCAGAGACCATATGGCCAGCAAAGTAGAAAATAGTCACTATCTACTTCTTTTCTAAAAAAGTGTACTGACCCCTGGTTTAGCACAAGATGCCATTTTGTAAAACAACATTGACAGATACCATTCCAAGTGCTTTTACTGCATCCATTGCATGCATGTATTTATGTATGTACGTGTGTATGTATGTATGTATGTATTCACTCACTCACTCACTCACTTGTTCATCAGATGCCTTGGGCCAGGCACTGGGCCCTGACAGTGAACTAGCAGACATGGCCCTTGTACTCCTGGACCTTAAAATCTGTACCTAAATTTGTATCTTTCCCATGTATGCATTCCATGTCCAACTGCTTGTCATAAGATTCTTTCAAAACCCCATGCAGCCTGACTCCCTCCCCCTCTTCTATATCTATGTATCCCAAAGGGCTCAGTCTCTCTCAAGGTGGGTACTCAGAATGGCTCCCAGATCTCCTGGTATCTCACAAAGAGGTCAAGTTTTAGAAGAATTAACATTGAACTGGGCCATGCTTTCTGTCTGGCTTTAAAGTGCTCACCATTCCAACCTTTCCATTTGCAGCTTCAGCTCTCCAGTGTCCCCTGAGCGGGAGGTGTCCCAGTCCTTGACCCACTTCATGGATGGGAATAGGTTCCAGCTATGAAGAAGGATGTGGCATTGTCTTCACACGATTCCTCCTGCAGAAAACCAAAGCCACGTCCAGACACATGTCGCAGCGCCCGGGTCTCCCTATAATATAGTCCTGGGAGGAAGCTGACTCTTCATGGGGCAATCTGAAAACTGGAGCTAGAACCACAAACCTGACTTCAAGACTTCCCTTTCTTCTTCTTTGTTCATATTCATACCCAACAACTCATAACAGATTGCCTTATTCATTTCTAGAAAACAGCATTGGGCCAGTCCTTGAAGGCCACCCTCTTTTGGAATCCTGGAGTCCAGCGGTTGACATAATTCATACTTTGGAGATCTAAGGATAAGCAGCCTGGGGCTGTGGTCCTGGAAGGTCCACCAGGGTCCCAGGATGGCACCCAGTCACATATTCTCTTCCACTGTATCCAGTATCACCATCAGCATGATCCTCATGGTCCTCATCTTCATCACCATTGCTGGTAATGTGGTTGTCTGCCTGGCTGTAGGCTTGAACCGCCGTCTTCGCAGTCTGACCAACTGCTTCATCGTGTCCTTGGCCATCACTGATCTGCTCCTTGGCCTCTTGGTACTGCCCTTCTCTGCCATCTACCAGCTGTCCTCCAACTGGAGCTTTGGCCAGATCTTCTGCAATATCTATACCAGCCTGGATGTGATGCTCTGCACAGCTTCCATCCTCAACCTCTTCATGATTAGCCTTGATCGGTACTGCGCCGTCACAGACCCACTCCGCTACCCAGTGCTAGTCACCCCTGTCCGGGTCGCCATCTCGCTGGTCTTCATTTGGGTTATCTCCATCACCCTGTCCTTCCTGTCTATCCACCTGGGGTGGAACAGCAGGAACATGACCATCAATGTCAACTACAACATCTCTAAGTGCAAAGTCCAGGTCAATGAAGTTTATGGCTTGGTGGATGGACTGGTCACCTTCTACCTGCCTCTGCTCATCATGTGTATCACCTACTACCGCATCTTCAAGATTGCCCGGGATCAGGCCAAGAGGATCAATCATATCAGCTCCTGGAATGCAGCCACCATCAAGGAGCACAAAGCCACAGTGACACTGGCTGCTGTGATGGGAGCCTTCATTGTCTGCTGGTTCCCCTACTTCACCGTGTTTGTTTACCGTGGGCTCAGAGGAGATGAGGCCATCAATGAGGTTATTGAAGCCATTGTTCTATGGCTGGGCTACGCCAACTCAGCCCTGAATCCCATTCTGTATGCTACATTGAACAGAGACTTCCGCACTGCGTACCAGCAGCTCTTCCGTTGCAGGTCCACCTCCTACAATTCCCATGACGCTTCTCTGAGATCCACTAACTCTCAGCTGTCCAGGAGCCAAAGCAGAGAGCACAAGGGACAGGAAGAAAAGCCCCTGAAGCTACAGGTGTGGTGTGGGACCGAGGTTACAGCCCTGCAGGGAGCTACAGACAGGTAACAACCAAGCCATTTTTGCAGGGCCCTAAAATGGACATAGGGAGGGGGCTCCTACTAATGGTAACCTTAATGATAAAATGGCTGAGTTCATGTGGTGTCATTTACATGCCAGGCAAGCACTTCTCACCAGACTTAGCAAACCATGTCTCGTTTAATCCTCACAAGAGCCACCTAAGGTTTATCTCCATTTTAAAAGAAGCACATTGACCTCAGAGAACTTGGCCAGGATCTCATAGCTGAGACCTGCACAGTGCTGTCGAGCTCTGCCACTTCTTGGTTATAAGTAGTCACCTAACTAGTGGTAAAAAAAAAAAAAAAAAAAGAACATATGACTTCTGGCTACTCCATGCATGTCAGAGTAAAACTGGACTCCAGCAAAAGATTTTTCATGCCTGGCTGTTTGAAAGTAGATTGTCAGACCTTTCTTCTGAGGTATACCTGGGTGGACTCAGTTAGCAACTGTCTGTGTTAAGCAATTCACACCCAGGAACTCCTGTGTACTCAAATAACCATGTAGTAACACTACCACCAATGAAGGTGTTTGGGGGATTAAACGAGAAACCCAGTTGTGTTGTTCAGCATTTATTGAGCATCTACTATTGCATTATAGCTCTTACCTTAGAGAAGCTCAAATCAGTGGAGGTAAGGGATTGGAAGACTCAGGAGTGCCTTCAATGCTAGACTAAGGATTTGGGTATTATTATTGCAGATCTTAGGAAAATATTGAAGGATTGTAGTAAGGCAGTGAAGGGGGATCACCAGTAGATCTGTGCTTTGGAAAGAAGACTCTAATTGCAGTCTAAGACATGGATGGGAAGTGTAAGACTGCAGACAGGGATGTCAGTGAGACAGCCGTGGTCCTAGTTCATAGAGAGGAGAAGAGCATCATCTAGAAGTTTCCCATCCAGAAGAGAAAATCTAAAAGGTCTGGAGTCCTAGAGATATGCAGGATGCAGAAGATGCAAAGAGGAAGTGCCCTGGAGTTCTACCTCCAAGGAAGTGCAGGTTGAAAAGATAAATTATATCTGAATGCAACTTAGACAAAGTAACTGGTGACAACGCTAATGTTGTGTACAAAGGGAAACTGCACCGAAGATTTGAGGCACCTTGGGAAGGTCACTCTGAAGAAAGGCAAGTGTTGAGTGGTGTACAAGAAAGAATACACGTAGCATCCCGACATGTAGAATTTGCTCAATAAATAATGCTTTTCTTTCTCTTCCCACAAAGCATACCTTTGTTCCATAGAATGCTGGTCTGAGAAACTGACCTATCCCATCCATCCATCCATCCATCCATCCATCCATCCATCCATCCATCCATTCTTTCAGCACACATTTGTCAAATGTCCACAGTATGCCAGGACCTGTGTTGAGCACCAGGGACTGTAGAAATGACGTGTTTGGGGTTTGTCGTGCTGGACAGTTTAATGAAATCAATGGCAGAGCCCTGCCATCAGCCCTGTCATCACTTGTTCTGTGCCTCAAGCAAGTCCCTGCTGCTCTTCAGCCCCAGTGTTGGGTCTGTCTCACACAGCCTGCCCTTCTCACCTTCATTGTCCAGGAGGTTCATGAGCTAAGGGATGCAAACACCCTGACTCCCAGAAGGGTGACACGTCCATTCTCGAGCACAAGCATTGATCTCGGAAAACACTTGGACAGACACAGCAGGTCTACACCCTAGGATCTGGGATCTGATCTGAGAGTTGTAAGGGTTCATGGTCCTGAGCTGTATCTCCTCCAGTCCTTGCAGCTGCCACTCTTACTGCTTCCTCAGGTATGAAGTACCTCCAGACTTGGGTCCCAGGTCCTGTACCCCCAAGCACTCTTTTTGGGATAAGCTTCATTCTTCCTGCACCCCAACTATTGCCTCACCTTCTTCCTGGTTGTCCAGTCTCTAGACCCGCCCTCTCAGATCCATCCTCCAAGGCATCTCTCCAAAATGAAGATCTGGAGACTTCCTTCCACTTCCGTTCACAAGAGATACATGCCCATCTGACTGTGCCCTTCCACATTCCCTCGTTCAGAAAGTAACTCACGTGCAGCATTGATTTAGTTCAGTAAAAACATCGCAAAACAAACTAAACAGAGCATAGGCCATATCTAAGGAAGTAGCTGGCATGATTCAGTTGAATGATGTGTATCATTCACTGAAACAGAAATTTGTGCTGCATTTGCCTGTAGGATTTCTGAGCTAATCAGCCGCCTTCTAACGCTAGTTCTTAGGGGAACTCGATCCTTCAATAAGCACTTAACAACAATGGTAATAATAGCTAATTCTTACTTGTTGTTGTTGTTAAGTGCTGTCGAGTCGATTCCGACCCATAACGACCCTGTATAGGGTTTCCAAGGAGCAGCAGGTGAGCTTGAACCACTGACCTTGCAGTTCAAATGACTTTGCAGTCTGACGCATTAGCCCACAGTGCCACACCAGGGCTCCTAATTCTTACTGAACACCTATTATTTTGTCAGCTTTGCCTTCTTTGACATTGCTTACATGTATTAGTTATTCTGTGAGAGTATGCTAATCCCCCCTGTGGCAAGTGTTAAGGGTGTAAATGAAGGCAAAACAATCCCCCATTCTATACCACCACTCTTGCCATCTATAATTGCTCCCAGTCTAGTGGGGGTAGGGAGGGCAGACAGGTCATGACTCAGTGCAGCATGTGCCAAGGATTGAAACCAGTGCCCCCCGCAACTAGCCCAGGGAGGTGCCCCAGAGAGCAAACCTTTGGTCCTTAAGTGAAGAGGGCCCTCTTCATGATCTCATTTCATTTTTGGCACAACCCTGTGAAGTAGGTACTTGCTTTATCCCTGATCTACAGATGGGAAACTGGTCAACTTCAGTCTGAAAATATTGAAATTGCGCACCGTTCTGAGTAGCAAGATGAAATCATGTCTGAGTCAGAGTGAGCAGTTGCCCTGCACCCTGCCAGCATCTGATAGATTAGTGCTACCCATCAAGGGTACCTGGAGTCCCTGTCATGTGTATAGATAGGAAAACCATATAGTAGCTATAGAGGATGGAACTATCTTCAGTTTTAGACACCCATTGGGGGTCTTAGATTTTATCCCCAACAAATAAGGAAAGCTACTGTAACCTGCCACAAGTGACAAGAGCGTGTAAGTAACGAGAAGCCAGGAAAGCAGCAGTAGCCGTGATAACAGTCCTTGTGATCGGCAGGCCTCTGGGATCCCCGCCTCACTCAGGGCCAGAAACCAAGGCAGCAGCTGCAGTGCCAGGACCAAAGCACACGCATCTAATGTCCATCCACAGCAAGTTTTCTCCTCCAGACCCCAGAAGCAGGGGCCAGGCGTGGGGTTGTCAGGGTTGGCAGAGAAGGATTGGAAAACCAGTCAGCCTCAAGGACCTGACACCATGGTTGGGCATGGAGGGTTCAGAAGGTCCAGAATAGTGCTGGGTTGATTTTCTCTGCTTCCGGGCTAACCCATAACATGTTCTTTCTGCTCTCTGATTAGGGACAAGAACCAGTGCTAGCCCAGAACCCTTACCACTGTGGGAGGAGGGTGGGTATCTGCCTGAGCTGAAGTTTCTGAAGGGGATAGATCACATCATCCCTGGGTAGAGTAGGGGCTCCAGAAGGAAAAGTGCTGAGCTGTTCCATCTTTACTTCCCTTTCCTACAGCCAACTAGCAACCATATCCCTAGAATTTCCAGAATCTGCCACTAAATGACTCTTGCTGCCCCCTCCTTGACTCCGTCTTCATTCGACCCCAGACAACTTCCTTAGCCACCTCACTGATCCTTCTGCCTTCAGTCTTGTCCCCCTCCTTCACTTGGTGAGTTTTCTAAGCCACGATCTCACCGAGTCACCTCTGCCCCATGACCTCCATGTATGGCTTCCTGTGGCCACTGGATACAATCCTGTGTTCATGTCCTAACCAGTTGCCATGGCGTTGACTCAGACTCATGGTGACTCCATGTGTATCAGAGTAGAACTGTGCCCCATAGGGTTTTCCATGATGGACTTTTCGGAAGTAGGTAGCCAGTCCTTTCTTCCAAGGTGCCTCTGGGTAGACTCAAATCTTCTACCTTTCTGTTAGCAGCCTAGAGTTTAATTGTTTGCACCACCCAAGGCTCTAACTAGTGTCCTGGGACACAAACTGGTTGACTGAAAACAGCACACATATATTCACCTAGGTTCTGGAGGTCAGGCATCTAAAACCAAGATGTAGGCAGGGCTGGTTCCTGCTCAAGACTTCAGAGGATAGTCCCTTGCCTTTTCCAGCTTCTAGAGGCTGCCCATGACCCTTGGCTCACAGCTCCTTCCTGGTATTGCTCCAACCTCTTATCCCATCCTTACATCTCCTCTATAACCAACTCTTCCTGCCTCCATCTTATGAGGACACATGTGAGGGGCCCAGAGTAGCATCCCATCTCGAGTTCCTTAATTTAATCACTTCTACAAATTCCTTTTCTCCATATGATGTAACATTCACTTTGTGGATTAGGACATGGATATCTCATTTTCAGCCAACCACAAGTCTCATCTCCTTAGCCTGGCATTAGAGACTCTTCAGGATTCAATCTCAGACCGTCTCTTGCTCCATTTCTTGTCACCATAGCCAGGCCTAGGTCTATATTCCACTACCATCTGCTCCAGACAAAAGAAACCATTGATTTTTTTTTCATTGTAAAGCACTTACAAAGGACTTGCTATTTAACAGTACTATTTGGGGTTTGTAGTCCTGTTGTGGCGATGTAGGATAAGCACTCAACCTCAAGGTTGGTTTGAATCACAAGGTCGGTGGTTCCAACTCACCAGCCACCAGCCACTCCTTGATAACCCTATACAGGGTCTCTATGAATTGGAATTGACCTGACAACACTTAACAACAACAATATGAAGTATGCTGTTCGTTGCTGTCTGAACAAAACACTACCTGGTTCTACTTCATCTTCACAATAGTTAACTTGAATCCGTTGTTGCAATCACTGTGTATAGCCAGTATTTACCAAATGAGGAAAGAGCTCTGGTGATGT